TCCAGTTCCATGTAGAAGGAAAAAAAATAATGCCAAATGAAATGAAATATGGTAGTGTGACTTACAAGGTGTACACAGTGTTTAGGAATGTTCCATTCTTTAAAAAACATTATCCAGGTAGGCAAACGTGAAAGAAAATTCTTGAAATGTTATAAAATATTTGCAAGCATTTCATCAATTAAATTCAAATAATTTTTAAAGCATGAACTTAGATAATCGTAAAATAACTATTCTAACATGAGGCACAGTTATACTATGAACACGTCAGCGTTCCAGAATTTAAGACCTAAGACTGAACTGCAGTTCTGCCACTCATTAGCTGAGTTCCTTTGGGAGGTTTCTAACCTTTCTAAGACACAGTTTCCTCATCTCTAAAATGGGAACAGAAATTCTTAGCATAGAGAATGGAAATGCCTCTATCGAAACACTTTACAGTTCTGACAAGAGAGCCCATTAGGAAAGAAACAGACCGGACCCCTCCTTGTAAACACACTGCAATCGCCAATATCTTGTACACTTGGAAGTTACATTCAAATTACATCACAAATCATAGTCATTTCATCCCACAGCTGAAAAATATTTACAAAGTCAGCTCAAACTCTGCGTGAGAAGCTGCATGCTATAATAAAAAGGCGGAGGTTGGGAGGCCAGCAACCTCATCAGCTGTGTGACCTGGAGCAAGTTACTCAGTTTTCTCACCTATAAAATAATGACGCTCACATCTAATTAGGAGAACTGCTGTGAATACTAAGGGAGATATGCATAAAACATGTTGTTTTAAACTCTTATTTACCACTCACCAGGTACTATGTCAAGCCTTGTTATATTACGTATATGACACAAAGTTAGATCAGAACCCAGGCATTATCCTAATCTTCTTCAAAACATACCTAAAACATAACTCATACTAAAAATAGACCAGGTAGCAGGAGTGATACTCTCAGGCTGTTTTTTCTCTACAGAAATTACCAGTTTCTCCATTAATTTCTTTCACTGAAAAACTGACTCCTTACTACATATTTCATGCTATTTTTGAAATGCAATAAGATCATTCAACAAATATTTACTATCTTCTCTATACTGCACACTCTTCAAAATTCTGGGGGAATACAGTAATGAACAAAATTCACAAAACTCCCCTGCCCTCATGGAACTCCAAGGAATCATCCAAGGGCCACCATGCAGGGCAGTAAATGTGGTCATCACATCCCAAGTACAGCATCATCCAAGAACCTAGAACGTGCTCCAATTAGTACAACTAACTAGTTGTGGTCGTGACAAAGAAAAAAAATCCTATATGAACAATGAGTTGTCAAAAGTGGAACAAAGTTCCAAATTGTTAGCCTTCCTATTGTGGAAAAGAGCAACAATTCTTATCAGACAAGATGACCCTGCCTTCCCTGCCTGCATTCCCCACAAGGTCAACCCACATCCAAAATAATTCCAAACGAAAAATGGTATTTTCATTATTCCTAAAGGAAAGCACTTATTTTTACCCCAGACAGTATTAAGCCTAAGTTTTTTGAATCATTTCTTAAATAGATTTTTGATATCAGAAGCTTATAACAATAATGAAAGAAACGTGAAATTTTAAATATACAACCTAAAATAACTTTACTTATAGTCTACATCAGAAAAATATATACTACTCTCAACAATTAAACACACCATGCTGTATCAGTAATAATTTTAAACATAAATATCCTTGCACTGTCAAAGAGGCATATAATTTTCATCTGGGCATATTCTTTGATTACCTGTTTTTATCAAAAGCTTATTTAGAGAGTGAAAGAGCAGAGGGAGATTTCTAATTTGTTTTCAGTCTAATAAATCATCAGTTGTTCTGATAAACATTAAAGAAAACATTAGGGTTACATTATAATATATGCTCTAGGAAAAAAGTGCTCTCATACTATTTATTCTGAACTACAGCATAAAATATGCTTAATTTACAATGACAGAGCCAGGCCCCATTATGGAAACCTGGTGATACTAACCATGAAACTTGGCTTAAGAGAGGCCTCTAGTGGTTATAGGTAATTACTTAGCTCCCCTTCCTGCCCCCACACTCTGGTAATGCTCTTGTTCTCATTCATTTCCCCTGTTCCCTCCCCTCTACCTCACGGGTTAAAAGCTTCAAGCAAAAGAGCTAGTATTCAACTAGTGAATTATTCAATCAGGTCCAAGTTGACTAAAAAAAAATGTATGTAACTGGGACTACTAAGCCATTATAGATTCTCTAAAGGCAAATTCTCCAACCTCCCCCACAAAACCAGTTTAGAGCCATTCCGTACAAAGTACAGACCCTAAATGTTAACCTTGCAAGTGTTAGTACTATCTTACTAAAAATGAAATCTAAGGTAATCTAAGTCGATCTTGTGGAAATAAAAACAAACCTAAAGGCTACAAAATTATAATTAGAGTCATAAAATAGAACCCATATGTTTTTATGTTTATCTTCAATGGTACTTTGGGTCTTCTACATCTCTTCTGCCCTATTCACAAATACACTAACACCAGGTGCAAAAGAGAGAGTAAGCAAACTTGGTTCTTTATATATAAATGATTAGCCACACCCAGATGACCAAGGTTTAACTTCTTCCCAGTTCCACTCCTACAATATCCCTTTCCTTTTTTATTGAAGGACTCTGCCCCCGGAACCTTCCCACCTCCACCCCACCTGCCAGCCTTAGAACCTGCCCTACCTTTATCCAGGGTCCCAGTGAAGTCTTTTGAAGAATGGAAACGGCTGGAGTAAAGGGACAGAAGAGGACGCTAAATGCTCCATCCCAACTGCAGTCACCTCCTCGTGCCACAGCGAACCTACTTCCAACTTCTGTCCCACGTTGTAATGCCACGGAGGCCTTGTCATGCTCCTAGGATACCCCCAAAATACTGAGACTATAGGTGCCCCAACTTGTAGCCATGCAACAACCATTTGCATCCATGGGCACATCATCAACTTTTGCCACATAATTCAGGTAGAAAAGGGAAAAGAGAGGGAAAGCAAGAGGGAGGTAGAGAGGAAGTTTCTTTCTGTATCACTTCCAAACTTTGTTAAGAATTTAAAAGGTAACAACCCACCTCCTGAGTACCTCAAAAAAAGCAGATGACTTTGGGGGAGAAGGGAGAGGCTTTGAGACAGTATCTCGTACCAGTATGTTTGAACAGAGAAAACCCCTGATCAGAAGCAGTGAATACTAGCTGTGAGGGATGTTAAAAGTCACAGGTCACTCCTGGGATCGGTAGGAAGACCAAAGGGAATGGGGCCCAGGCTGACCTCTTGCAGCTCTGAAGTCCACGACAATGACCCACCTGGCAAAACAGGCAACGAAGTAAGAGGAGAAAGGTTCTCAAAAACCCAAATTAGTATCATAAGGTTTGAAGAGTAAAGCACGTGTTCTTGATTCATGAGAAATCATTACAGGCCTTCCCTGGCCAATACACATGTCTCAGTTACAAAGTCTGGTCATCTGGATCCCATGCACAGCTGGCAATAATGTGACAGCAAAAGATAAAAGAAAATTTAAATTTAGAGGCTTAAAACCATGAATTTAAGCACAGAAATATATCAATGAAGTAAACAACCATACACCTCAAAAAATGTAAATGTCTTAACACAGTGTAACAACCCATGTTCATTTGGACTGAATTATTTTTGAAAGGCAAAATTATATACATTATGTTTTCCTTGAGAAAAGTGAAAAGGTTTTGGAAATACTGACGTTCAAAAGGTTAAGAAGTTTTAAAAGCTGCTACCCAGAAATAGTAACTCTCATCTATGCAAAAAATTACCATAAGAACTCAATTCTCAGAAATTATAAGATAGCTAGCTAAGGTTTGCTGTAGTCACTTTCACTTTGCTTTTTAGGATAAATTGGTCCTAGTCTAATGAGAATTCAAATGATACTTTCTATATACCATTATGAAAAATGGACAACTGTTAAGAAAAATAAAACACAAGGTCAAACTAAAACTTAAGACTAGAATAAATGCTTCAGCTTAAAACAGATTTATTCATAAAGCAATATTCTAGAGTTACTTTTTAAACTTTTGTATAAGCACCAAAAATAAGAAAAAGTACCAAATTCAAAACATTCCAATTTTAAACAGTTTCATCATAAAACTTTCTTTTGCTGATAGTCATAATAATTGCATAGCAAATATCTCCTGAATACCAAACCTAAATCAGGCATTTTTTTCAGGTATTGAGAAGTCATCAATAAGCCAACAGACAAAAACCCCTACCCTCACAGAACTTACCTCCTAATGGGGGAAGAAAGATTGACAATATAAATAATAAAGTTATATAATATGTTAGATCACTTCACCTCTCTAGAAAAAAAGGAAGGAGGGGTAAAAGGGAGTCTTGGCAAGAGGGATGGTATCCAGTATTAAGTAAGTGGGTCAGAGGCCTTGAAGGAGAAAATGGTATTTGAGTGGTGACCTAACAGCCCCTTGGTTGAGAGTCAATGAAGAGCAGTTCCTGAAGGGTGGACGGTGGTGGGCTGTGGAAGGTGGCGAGACAAGGTAAATCCCTGTAGACCACGGTAAGAAATTTGACTTTTCCACTAAATTTCATGGGAAACTATTGAGACCTTTTGAGACCAGAAGGAACATGATGCGACTCGCATTTGAAAGGATCAATTCTGCCTATGGCACGGAAAGGGCAGAAGCGAGACAGTACTTCGAGGCTACAGCCAAAAGCCAGATGAGAAATGCTAGCAGTTGGGGCCAGGATCAAGAGTAACAGCATTAGAGCTGGTGGTCAGATTTTGGACATATCGCGTAGGCAAAGCCAGCAGGATCTGCTTTGGAATTGAATGTGGGCAGGCAGAAGATGAAAGAAAGAGAGAAATCAAAAAAGGCTCCAAGGTATAAAGGCAAACCCTTATTTATTTCAATAATTAGCAGAATTTAATTTCAAATAAAGTATAAGCATGTCAAAGCTCTGTGTCAATGCTCTCTATAAACATGTGGAAATCACCTACACCTTGTAAACTGTCATTTTTCTTTCCTTTTTGGCACTGTTGTATGTAGTTGATTTTAAGTTGAAGGACAGTATTATTCTTGAATCCTGAGTTTCTTTCAAAGACTGTCATTCTCCTGCCAAAATCAAGTTCTTCTTTTCCATAGGCAGCTTCTCTGAATTTCTACATATTAAAAAAAAAAAAAAATCATTTCAAGTTGGACAGTACCTCAAGCCTAACTCTGTGCCTGGCCGCTGTTTTAACTTTGTAGCTCGTTTTTTAACTCACTTTGAATGTGGTCTGTATCTCAGCAGGGAAGTCTATTCAAGCCCTCAACACTTAGCCATGGTTCTTATTCTTGGGGAGCTTGAGAAGAACAGCACTACTTAGGCATATGGGTTTCTGGCTGAATGACCAAAAAACCTCCTCCAGGTCAGAGCACACCAAGGCTCTCTCTGTCTATAAAAAGGCTCACTACATTATAAATTCAAGGAAATAAATCAACGGCAGCACAGTGGTCTATCTCTACCCCAGTACAATACTGTAATGATGATAACCTTACAACACATCTTAATTATAACACATTGGATAACTAAGTCCTCCAGCTTTCTTCTTCAAGATTGCCTTGGCTATTCTTGGCCTTACAACTGATTAATAGGGTATGTGCTTCAGTTTGCTTGCATCTTCTCTAATTTCTGTGAATAACGTTTTGGGATTTTCTGCGTAGTTGTTACATACGCAGCATTCAATTTCACCCTAGATGTTTGATTTTTTTATGTCCTTTCAAATGTTATCAATTTATTTTCTATTTGTTGCTGGTATACAAAAATACAATTATTGTATATTGACCTTGTTTCCAGGGGCATCGGTAAACTCAATTCTAATGATTTGCCCATAGATTCCACTAGATCTTCCTACATATAAATCACGTTAGCTATGAGTAGTTTTACTTCTTTCTAATCCATATGATTTGTGTATCTCTTGCCCTTATGTAAGGGCATCCTTGTTATATTCTTGATCTCGACAGGAAAGCAGTCAAAATTTCAGTAGGAAATATAATTTCTGCTGCAGGGTTTTTATAGCTATTCATAACTACAAGATAAAGCTACTCTTTATCAGGCTAATAGAATTCCCTTCTATTTCTAGGTTACTAAGAAATTTTCATTATGAACGGATATTGACTTTTACCAAATGTTTTTCTGTATTATGAAGATCATCATGATTGTTTTTCCCATTTTCTGTTCATGTGGGAAATTGCATCAACCACTGTGTGAACGTTCGTGAATGTCAAACACCCCTTGCATATTTGAAATAAACCCTCACCTTTATCTTTTTATATATCGTTGGATTTAACTTTCCAATATTTTGATTTTTACATCTACGTTCATAAAATGTGTCTATAATTTTGCTTTATATATGGTCCAAAAGAGATTTGATATGAAGATTATGCCAGCCTTATACAAAGAATTTGGAAGTTTTCCCTCTTGTTCTATTTTCTGTAAGAATTTGCATAAGAACTGTGTTTTAAAGAATTCACCAGTAAAGCCCTATGGGTCTAGGGTTTTTTTCTTATATAAGCATTAATAAAAATGGATTCAGTTTGATATATGACTATTGAGGTTTTCTAATTTTTATTTTTGAAAACACTGTATTTCCTAGGAATCTGTCCATTTCACCCAAAACTTATTTGTAAAATCATTCAGGATATCCTCTTAGTATACAGTCTGTAGACTTAGCGATTTCCCCTTCTTCATACCTGATATTTGTCATTTGGGTTTGCCGTTTTTTTCCATTAGTCTTGCTAAAGGTTCATCAAGTACATTAGTCTCTTCAAAGATCTCATTTTAACTTAATTAAACTTCTCTATTATACATTCTGTTTCATTGATTTCTGCTCTTTATCACTACATTTATCCTATTTTCTCTAGATTTGATTTTCTTTCTGGAGATGGAAATTCAGATCACTAACTTTTTTTTTCTTATCCCTGTTTTCTAAATGTACATATTTACAGCCATACAGCTCTCTTCAAGCATGGCTTTACCTGAATCTTGAAATTTTTGATTTTAGTACCTTCATAACCCTTTAGTTCAGTATTTTTCTAATTTCTGTTGCAGTTTCTTTTACAATCTATGATTGAAATGTAAATTATTTAATTTGTAGGAAGTTGAAGACTTTCCAGTTTCTTCTCAATTTCTAACTGAATTCTACTATTGTCCAAACATACTCTAAATGACTTCAAATATCTGAAGTTTAAGATTATATTTATGTCCTAGTATTTGGTCAATTTTGATAAATGTTCCATATTCAACTGAACTAGGCATATTGTGGCATTTCATAATGTATATAAATATCAAATCACTACATTATATACCGGAATCTAATACTGTATGTCAATCATTCTTCAGCGAAAAAAAAAATGATTTCTTATATAGTTGAGTACACAATTAGGACAAGTTTGCTAACTGTTCGGATCTTCTATATACTCACTGATATTACCTGCTTGTTTGATCAGTTTTTAAGAGGGGTGTCAAGGTCTCCTACTATGATCGTGGATATGTTTATATCTCCTTTTAGTTTTGTATCTTGTTTTGCTTTATGTATTTTGAAATTATGCTATCGATGACATAATAGATTTAAGACTGTGATATCTTCAGGGAGCCTGAGTGCTCAGTTGGTTAAGCGTCTGCCTTCAGCTCAGGTCATGATCTCAGGGTCCTGGGATCGAACCCCGCATCGGGCTCCCTGCTCAGCGGAGAGCCTGCTTCTCCCTCTCCCACTCCCCCTGCTTGTGTTCCCTCTCTTGCTCTCTCCCTCTCTGTCAAATAAATAAATAAAATCTTAAAAAAAAAAAAAAGACTGTTATATCTTCATAGCAGATTGATTCCTTCAGCATTATGAACTGTTCTTTGTTTCTAGTAATGCTTCTTGCCTTAAAAGCTTTATTTGAAATTAGTATGGCTACACCAGAGGTCTTTTTTCTTCATCCCTTTCACATTTTCTGTGTCCCTATATTTAAAGTCTCTCTCTCTTAAGCTGTACATTGCTGCTATTCTTTAAGGAAGTCTGACAATCATTGGCTTTTACTAGATTTAATTCATTTGTTTTTAATTACTTATATACTTAGGTTTATAGCTATCATCTATCTGTGTTCTACTGACACACCTGTTTTGCTTTGGGGTTTTTTTTGTTTTGTTTTGTTTTTACATATTTTCCTTTCTTTTAGTTTAACCAAATACTTCTATTAATCTATAGGTCCCTTTTTAACTTGCTGGATATATACTTTCACTATTATTTCAGTTGTTACAACATGCATCCCTAACTTACTATAATCTAGTAAAAATATTACATTTAAAATCCTAGAACAACAGAATATTTTAACTCCATGTAAGCCCATTCTGACTGTCTTCTAGGATCATTTTCCTTCTGCCTAAAGAACTGCCTTACAGTATTGCCTTTAGTGAAAATGTGTTGGTGATAAATTCTCTAAAATTCTATTTGCCTAAGATATTTTTTATTCGACCTTAACTTTAAGAGTATGTTTTCACTGGATAATGTTAGGTTGGTATCCTTAGCAATTTAAGATGTCATTCTAGTGTGTAGGTAGGTGCGGTTTTCTTTGAATACATCTTTAGAAGTTCACAAATCCTCAAGTATGATGATGTCCTGAAAGTTTAATGAGAAATATTCTTTTTTATTGTGTCTGACCAATTCATTCTTTCTTCTTCTGGAATTCCAATCATATGTGGGACAGATCTTTTGACCAGATCCCCAGTGTGTTTTATGCTCTCTTCTGTTTTAGTCTATTTTATTTCCCCCCTCTCTGTGCTTCAGTTTGGACATTTTCTATATACTTGCCTTTTAGTTCATGAAAACTATTATCTACTAAGTCCAATAAGTTTGTAAACACATCCACTGAGTTCTTATTGACAAATATTTCTTTGGTTCTACAATGGTCTCTCTCTCTCTCTCTCTTTCTCATACATACACACACACACAGCCACACACACACACCTCCAGGGTAATTCTCCACTTCCTTACCTCTTTTGTTCTTTTTCTTCCTCCTATATTCCTAAACATAATAAAGTCTTTGTCTGCTAACTCCAATGACTGGATCACCTGTGTTTCTGCTTTCTATTGTTTGTGTTTTCTCTTGGTTTTGAATCAAATGGTCCTGTCTCTTCATATACTTAGTAATTTTTTACTGAATGCTGATTCACTGAGGTTCCAGATGATGGGAGGACTGACTCCTTGTTGTGCTGGGCAGACAGAAAAGAAGGTAAGTTATATTAATCCAGTAAGGAACTGAGAGGGAGAGAGGCTGTGCTGTGGATTTGGAAAGCTTTAATCTACCTCTGGTAGCTCCTAAGACCCGACTCCCCAACTTTCAACTGAGAGTATGACTGGTCTTTGACACTTCAGTCTCAAGGGATGGCTTGGACTTTCAGGTATTTTCAGCTCCCACCACATACAATTTGGCATTTATCTTGAATGGGAGACCACCTGTGTGTTTAAGCAACCCCCCCCCTCCAAGTTTCCTATTTTGTCACTACAACCCCATGAAACATGGATTCTATACGCCTGGGTTCTCAGTTTCTAGTTGAGACTTACTTGGCAGGTGCCCCCAAGTAAAAAGAGCCAATTTACTACTCACTTCAGAGCTTTCAACTCTCCTCGCTGATGTTCTTAAGCCACCCCAATTCCCAGGGTAGGTCTCTGTCTCCTAGGCACTTCAAAACTCAGGAATTTTTGTTCTACGTTTTAGAGGCTTCCAGCTTAGTTCTCCAATATCAGGTCCAGAATTGATGAACTATGGTTCTTAGACCCACTCAGGTCTCCAATTTTGTAGCTTCCCTGAGCAACATTCAAACACTCTGCTGCTCTCTGTCCCCAAGCAATTTTTCAGGATTATAACTTCCAAACAATGCTTCAAGGCTCAAGCAACAAGTGTGACTACGTTTTTTAAAACACAGTTAAATTCAGACTACATTAACCAATTCCTCAACTGTCCCAGAGTCATTTTACTATGCATAGTGTGCTAATGTCTATGTATGTTCAATAAGTATTTATTTTTTTACCTTTAATAGGCTTTTCTTGATTAGGTATTCCAAAAGATGCATTTGGGTGTTGAGCTTAACATGTCATGAAAAAAGCTGAGGGATCTAATTTTATCATAAAACAAAAAGAACCAATAAAACACAGCACTAACTGAAAAAGATAATAAACATAAATTTTGAAGGGCATTTGGGTGGCTCATTCGTTAAGCATCTGCCTTCAGCTCAGGTCATGATACCAGGGTCCTGGGATCGAGCCCCCCATTGGGCTCCCTGCTCAGCGGGAAGCCTGCTTCTCCCTTTCCCACTCCCCCTGCTTGTGTTCCCTCTCTCGCTGTCTCTCTCTCTCTGTCAAATAAATAAATAAAATCTTTTTAAAAAACACACACACACATAGATTTTGATTACTACAGAATTCATAAAGAAAAACTTGACTGTAGGGGCGCCTGGGTGGCTCAGTTGGTTAAGCGACTGCCTTCGGCTCAGATCATGATCCCAGGATCCTGGGATTGAGCCCCGCATCGGGCTCCCTGCTCAGCAGAAAGCCTGCTTCTCCCTTTCCCTCTGCCTGCCCCTCTGCCTACCTGTGCTCTCTGCCTCTCTGTCAAATAAATAAATAAAAAATGTTTAAAAAAAAAAGAAAAACTTGACTGTAGTTAAACAAAAAAAAAGAAGCCTCACTTTTACTGAGGTGTAGCTATAGGGTCCTCTTCTTTAAAGTCATCTCCAAATCCTAGAAAGATGTCACGTATCCAAACTTTTCTTTGACACATGAAAGGAAAATAGAAGATTACCATGGTCAACAATGAAGAGTCACAGAACCCAAAGTAATCAAGAAATGACAAGCTGGCTTTCACTACTGTAACTAGAGGATCATCAACTAGAAAAATAACATGATGAAAGCACCCCAACACAAGACTAAAAGGATGAGGCTAGCAAGTCAGAGGTTTGATGCATCACCTTTTCATTCAGGAGCAGTCTCTAGTGTCCTCTTTCATCCTTTCCAGTAGTAAAGAGCCCCAAGGAAATAGGATCCACAACCCAGGATCACACAAAGATGCAACCAGTAGATTTACTAAAGGGGAGAAGGGGCGTACCACACAAGCAAAGTTATGTAGAGATAAATATAAATAAATAATTTCTCCCTTCTTTCTTCCTCTCTCTTCACTTTACCTTCACAATTAACCTTGCAATGTTGTTGTATTTGTGTTTTACCATAAGCTGTTAGGATGTATAAAGTATATAAAACTGTAAATAAAATTTAAAACTACTTGCCCCGACCATTTAACAGTGCCCCCACTGCACCATAACAAAACATTATATCCCCACAGAAAAGCACCATTCACTTTATAAATACAAACCCCAAGAATAAATGGGGGATACAGTTGCAAAGAAGAAGCCCCCTCCACGACAAAGGCTCTCAGCTCTGGTTTAACCATAATTTGGACTATTTGGCTACTTGAAAGAAAACCCAGTGTCTGACTTGATTTGAAAAAGCCTGCAAGAAGCATTACTCTCATGCAGTTATGAACAGTTCAACCTAAAATACTGCTCTTATGATGGAAACTATAAATATAAAGACTTAGAATATCGTTGAAGCCATCCGTAACCATGTCAAGTGTTTAGATGATGTCAAGTGAGTCTACAGAACATTTCCTATAACAAATCTTAAGTCTTCCAATAAATTGTAAAACAATCTTTACCTAAATACCCTATGCTATATTTTTACAGCAGTAGGAGCTGCAGGTTATTTTCACATGACTAACCTAAGAAACAGCCTATAAAAGCTTTGAGAATACTACAGTTCTTAAAAAATAATATAAAATACCCTAGGTTTTAGGACTCACTTGCTATAACAGTAAATCAAGAAAAAGTAAGACATGCAACATTACCTAAACCTTAGTAGGTAAGACCATCACAAAAACAGAGCCTAATCTTCCTCATATACCACAATGGAAACAGATGAACTTTGGTTACCTCTACATTAATATGAAAGCTATCAGTTATAACCAAGTAAATGAGAACTGAACTATATTCCTGAGAGGGGACTATCAAGAGTTTGCTTAGATGGAAAACTACGAGCAGACAGAAGAATCCCACAACATAACATTCCAACTGTGATTCACAGTATGAAGACTATGTAGAGAGGGTTTTTGTTTTGTTTTGTTTTTTGCTTTGTTTTGTTTTTTAAATAATCCATCTCCATCTCTTTTGGAGAGGAGACAAATGAAAATTCAGCCAAACCATTTAGTTGACTCTATCAAACCTTGCTTATCGAACCATAACCCATAAGTTGTTAAAAACACAGGTGACCTCAACAACCTGATATGCTTTCATTTGCACTACTCCATTACTTCCACAGCTCAACCCAAGCTGGCTGCATGAAAGACACAGTTCTGTAATATTGTAAACAAAGAACTATGGGAGGGAAAAACCTCAAGGGGTTGGTTTGCTTGAGCATTAAGCTGATTATATAACATATATTTCTGTGATGGTGTAAATTTTAAAGTTTTCAATCAGTTGAAAATGCTCATAAAACTCAAAATTTCAAAACAATTCTTTGCAAATTGCCAACAAATCTGGCCCACAGATTTAAGGAAATGACATTCTTTCAACACTATATTCATACCTTGCAAACCGTATCCATGTCCCAAGGTAGTATAGTCCTCAGATCAATGACTTCACAAGACACTCCAAGCTTCTCTTGAGCCATGGAAGCCACCTCTCGGATCACATGAACCTGAAATGAAAATAGCAGAGAATAACTACAGAGATTCAGACCCAAAAAGTCAGCTGAATTCTGACATCATTAATAGAAACAGTGTTTACAGTCAGGGGAACTTATTTGCAATGGAGAATTAAATTTGTTTTAGATATGTTGACCCCAATTCCCCCAAAGTAATCAAACACAGAGGTCTAGAAAATAGTTGGAAAGATGTCCTTAATTTCAGGAAGGGAAAGCAGTCATTGATAGAGACACTGATTCTAAAGATATCAGCACACAGAAAGTAAAGTCAGAGGAGTAGGTTAAGTTTCTAGAGAAAGCATGTGGAGGGAGAAATAAAGGGCAGAACTTACGGGACCCTGCAGAGGACCAACATTTAAGGAGAAAATGGAGAAGAAGGAAAAGAAGAAGAAGGAGAAGAAGGAAAAGAAGAAGAAGGAGAAGAAGAAGGAAAAGAAGGAGAAGAAGAAGAAGAAGAAGGAGAAAAGGAAGAAGAAGGAGAAGGAGAAGGAGGAGGAGGAGGAGGAGGAGAAGGAAAAGAAGGAGGAGAAGAAGAAGAAGGAGAAAAGGAAGAAGAAGGAGAAGAAGGAGAAGGAGAAGAAGAAGGAGGAGAAGGAGGAGGAGGAGGAGGAGGAGGAGAGGAAAAAGAAGGAGAAGAGGAAGTGGAAGAAGAAGAGGAAAAGGAAGCAGCGCCTGGATGGCTCAGTCAGTTAAGCAAACAACCCTTGATTTGAGCTCAGGTCATGACCTCAGGGTCATGAGATTGAGCCCTGAGTCAGGCTCTACACCCAGCATCCAGCCTAAGATTCTCTCACTTTCCCTCTGCTCTTCCCCACCATTCATGCTTTCTCAAAAGAGGGAGGGAGGGAGGGAGGGAAGGAAGGAGGGAGGGAGGGAGGGAGGGAGGGAGGGAGGAAGATCAACCAGGAGACAATGTATGCCAGAAACTAAAGAAGAAAGAGTTTCACAGAAACGGCAGCCAGCATCATACACCGTGGCAATATGGGGTAAGGGTTGGATTTAAAAATTAGAAAATTAGGAATGTTAACAAGAATAGTTTTAGTAAATTAGTGGGGACAAATCTCATAAGGTACAAGAATATAAGGAAGTTAAGGAATTAAATACAGGTAGTAGAAAACGTTGTTCAAGTTTAGTGATAAAAGAAAGGACAAAATATACTGGTATTTCAGGGAAAAGTAGGGTAGAGAAAAGGTTATTTTTTATATAGGGAAGAAATATACACCTTTTTAATGAAAGGGACATTGAAAGGAGAAACTGAAGATGCAGAAGAGGGAAGGGACCAGCTGGTACATTACAGCCCTGGAAAAGGCAAAATGGAATATAATCTGAAAGAGTTGTAGAGGTAGCTATGAAAACCAGACACCTCTTCTTTTGAGGATAAAAGAGAAAGAGGAGTAAAGGACTGGCAGCAAACATGGTAGGTGGGAGGAAAGAGCAAGTTATAGGACATAGTATCTAATACACTACTCCCCTATCACAAAGAGAGGCAAGGATGCCCGCTTAGCGACAGGGATACAGATAAAAGATTTTCCCACTGGAGGTAAAAAACCATGAGGACTAGCTCTCCAAGCCAAAAATCAAGTGGAGAAGAAAGTCAGAGGGTGTAGTATTACAAATGACTTATTTTCTTCATTTACTGCTATACAAGTTTTCTAAAATAAGTACTTCCTTCACACAGAAAAATGAAAATTGGACCATTTCTTTAGAAGAAGGAGATAGAGATAGAAGTCTATGGCCAAAGGAAAAAAAAAAAGTCCCAAGCTTAAAAGTCTGGAGGGAGGACAATGTGACAATGAGCACTGGGGAAACTGAGGGAGATCGGTATTGAGGTTCGCTGGAACAGAGGAAGGTATGGAATTCTGAGGCTGGACTCCTGGATGGTCCACATGACCAGCAAAGTAATCACAAGAGATGGCAGCAGATGTGATGAAAACGATAGGAAGTCAAGCACAGAAACAAGTATGAGGATGTATAATGCATGCTTCAAAAGAGACAGTTTCTCAAGTACATTTTTATATAATGGCTTCACCACATGCATATATATTTTAATATGACTGAACGGGCACCTCACCCTCAACCAGAAGTCAGTACCAGATATAGATGTAGCACTAACAAGACTTAAAATTTGACATATAAGAAAAACAACACTTTGGATTTTTATAGTATCAGGATAAAAAAATGAGAGCTTCCAAGCACAATAGGGACATTATTGGTTCTTAGAAATGTTACTGACCTGAGTGCCCCAGGCAACTAGAGTCACGTCACTCCCTTCCTGAATGACTTCAGCCTGGGACAGGGGAATGTTGTATGGTTCTACAGGAACCTGTTCAACTGAATATAGAACAGGGAAAAAAATAAAAATTTATTTTTTCTCATGTGGCGCTTATGCACAAGACAATATAAGCATTTCACTGTGGCAAAGCTTTCTTTTATTCTTCTCCCCAAATTCCATAAGTTACTTAAAACAGAAATAGCATTTATTATATGGCTCTATGACATTACTACACATATGAAAAAGTCCCATGTAAATGAAGAAAATGTATCAGCTACCCTGGCACAGAAAAAGGACTTTGGGTAAAAACTAAGAAAATGCTACAGTAAGGGCTTTGGTCGACAATGTGACACACTGGTTCATTAACTGAAACAAATATGCCATACTAATATGTTAGTAATATAGAAAACTGGGTGCAGGGTATATGGGAACTCTCCTGTACTATCCTCACACTTTTTCTGTGAATCTAAAACTGTTCTGAAAAAATAAAGTTAGAAATATTTAATGTGTTTCCGCTAAAACTTGATCAGACTGAATTAAGTTCTCAGACAAGTTGTTGATCAAGAAGCCAACTTATGGTGACTTGAAAAACAAAACACATAGAGCAGAGCCAAATTTTTATGTATATTTTATTTTTACCCCTTGCATCTACGGACACTTCATCAACTACGGCAGCTCGTAACACCTTAAATTTCAAAGCTGAATCCTTTATACCTCAAGAAGATACACTAAATCAGCTCCACCAGGCCAAAAGGAAGAATAAGCCACTGGTATCCCAGAGAAGACTATTTCATGATTATTTCTGCCCAATCGAGTACAAGCAATAAAAAGTTGACTGAATTCAAGGGGAAATCATAAGGTGAATTTTAAAATGAAATTGTAGGAAGTTGCTGGAATTGCCCCATTATGCTGGGAAGCCTTCTTGAATGCCCATTTGAGAGCAGTAATATGGTAGAAGCAGTGGGGGGAAGAAATCAATCCTTTTTGTTCACTTTCCCTATAATCTTTTATCATTGTTGTATGGATTTTTTTTTTTTTATTCAAAGAGCAAAGAAGGACAAACTAAAAGGTTCCCTCTCTGCCCCAGTGAGTTCTCTCAACTCCACGGCCCAGAGTCATCAATACCAACAACTTCCTGCATGTCTGCAGGGGACAGCTTTCATGCTTTCTGTCATCCAGGCTTCTTAATCTTCTTTCTAAATTAGGGAAATGTCCCATCTGATGAGGCAGGGCCCTTTGTCCATAACAGAAGTAAGGTCCACATCTGTACTTTCCCAGCTTCCCTTGCAGCTAGGGCCCTAAAATGTGGGCTCTGCTGATCAAAGGCACCCAGGCCACACTCTGAAATGGATGCTGAGGGCAAGAAGAGCAGCAGGGACCCAGAATCCATCCTACAGTACTGGTAACAGTGGAGGCAGATCCAGCTTTCAGGCTCAGGGGTGTCAATGATTCAGACTGTAGTTCCATGTCCACTGATAGCTGCCACAGTATCTTTGTAAAACCAGTTACGTGGAATTTTGGGTACTGTTTCTAGACATATGGCCTCTAAGCCTGGTTCTTAGGCACTCCAAAGATTTCTGAGCTGTTCACTATCCTTCAATACATCTTTTCAGCTTATATTGGCCAGAGCTGGATTTCTGCTTGAAAATTAAGAACCCTGACTGATTTAGTGTCTTTTCAGATGTTTATAATATTCAAGTATGCACACTCATAAACATATGTGAATCTTTTTTTCCACATAGAGAATCACCTTGTACACCCTGTTCAGAAGGTCTTCTATCATCTCCCCTTTTCTCACTCGGCAATATATCTTGGCCATGTTTTCATGTCAAAAATACAGTTTTTTAAAATCATTTGTAAGTATAATCTATCAAATTTAATGGTACTGTTATCAGTGATGTGGAAAATTTTATTTCCTGTATTTTTTTATATTTCCAATCCAACAGCATGTCTATAACCAATGCCAGAGAGATGAATATTTTTTTAAATCATCGATATATTTAAATAATACACTAAAATCCACAAAACTGCTCAAAGCAAATGCTTTAGAAAACTCCTAAGTGTTAAAATCATTTTTTAAACTTTTTGTGTAACATGTAAAACTACATTGAGTCAGATTATCTAAACCAGGAGTGGGCAAGGCAATTTTTGTAAACAGTATCTTACTGGAACACAGCCATTCATTTACATATCATCCATGGCTGTTTTTGCCCTACAACAGCAGAGCTGAGGAGTTAACAAAACTCCTACAAGCTCAAATTCTTACTATCTCTTCCTTTACAGAAACAGTTTGCCAACCTCAATTCTAAACAGTGCTTTCAGAGGTTAATTCCAGTCCATTCACAGAGAGCTTAAATCCAGTGTTGGATGGACAGATGAACCAACAGATACACGAGTGGACAAAGGAACACACAAACGGGGAGACAAACATTCAACTGGAGTAGTACACTCTACTTAGCAGTTCTCAGTGGCTAAACCAAAGCCACGGTCAAGAACGATGCTGATGATATGCAACAAACACGGAAAGGTAGCACAAAGGCTCTTTGCCATCAAGTCTTCCCTCCTCTGGCAGCAAGATCTGCATGCCAATAGACAAGGCTTGAAGCCAGTACACACTCTGTCTTGTGATGAGTCAGTGGTTGTCATTCAAGAGTCTTATCTTTCCCGCCTTTTAAATCACTTGCCAGCTGATTAGCAAATCCCTGGAACACACAATTCTAATGGCTGGCACACTAAAAGAAATGGGCTAGCATCTTGGCCCACTTCCTTTGGTGAAATGCTGCCAGTGAGTGACTAACTGCTTCATTGTATTAAATAAATTACCCAGAATAATAAGACCTCATTACTTTAACACGTAATTAAGGAACAACATGGCAAACAAAGCATTGTTCTCCATCAACAAGATCGTGCAGAGAATTAGATTCAAGAAGAGTCTCTTATTAAAAACAACCAAAAAAAAAAAAAAAAACTACTAGATTCACATAAATTTAATCCTGAGAGCAGAAGAATGAGAGTATGTTCTTTTATTTGAACTTGGCAAACAGGTCACCTAGAGGGCAAGCCATAATTCACAGGTACTCTAGTTACACTAATTTAAAAGATACTTACTCCAAGAGAAGGTTATTATTTCGAATGAGCATTCTTGCACTCCTACCCCATGACTATGTGCTTTTTGAAAGAGAACAGGTAAGAGAAGTAATAACAGAAAATTTCAGGAACTGAAGAGCCCCTATACAGTCATATTACAGATTCCTGTTTTCATAGCAGTGGGACCAACTGAGACCACTCCATTTCACCAAATGCTGATTACATTCTAATCTCGGCACTAATGAGCATTCCAGACAAACCCTTCAGCATCAGACATACATTGACAAAAATGTGTCATCCAGAAAAATAAGAAATCTTTCTAAGACCAAAATTTAAAAGATGCAATTTTTGGCTCAAATATCAGACCGAATTTTTAAAATATATGTTTTAAGCTCCACATATATGTGTCCTTTATAACTGTAAATGCACTTATATTCATATTACCTATGCGCTTACAGATTCATTGTATGAATGAGTTCATGCCTGGCCCATTTTATTGCCTATTCTCTTCCCTTTTCCCTTCTCATTTGTTCGGTCATCTTGAACACATTTTTAAAATAAGGTAGTGTCAAAATGTATATGCTATGGGCAATACACCTTTACTCATTAATAGTTATTGCCTACCCAACGTATGCAGGCATCCTACAAGATATGGGAATATGAAACTGAAAGGGGCAGTCCCTCCCTGTCTTTGACAAGCATACACTCAACTGGGAGTTATAAAGATGGAAAGACATGATCAGTAAACAAAAACATGATACGGTAGTAGGGATAAACGGCTCTAGGAAAACAGAGGGAAGCAACAATCTGGTTGTAAGAACCGAGGAAGCTTCACCACCATGGAGGCCACAACTGAGAAGAGTCTTGAAGCTAACGAGGAAATAAAGAGAGTATTCCATGTAGAAAGAAAAGCTGTATACAAAGAAATGGAGGTGTGAAGTTGTGTGTGCGTGCATCTACAAACACATGTCAACACACACTTACGTGCTGTTTCAGGTAAGAGTGAGAGCTTTAAATTATATACCCAAGTCCCTAGAAAAACCTTTTCAATTCCTTCTGGCTTTACATATTAGTAACACATGTAGAAAGTGTCTGCAAGAAAATAATAACTCACTCTTAATGATGCAAGTTTCCCTGTGAGGCACAATATTACCATTACAGAGATAATAGGGTCATTTCTCTGCCCTGGCACTAATCTACAGTAATGCTAGTTTCCTCACAAATGTGAAAGTCAGCAGGGCTTTATTCATGTTGCATTATACATGATGCAGTGATAAAACATAAATGTTCTTCTTAAAAAGAATGGAGTATATTCCTAAAATGTTACTTTATGCTGCCTGGTTACTAACAACATTGGAAATCTTCATACTCGAGAAAGTCTATCTCATTTGTCAGAATTGACAGTCTAATGGGGGAGAGTGGGCAGATCCACTCAACCAAGAACCCAATTCCCAGCCCTGTCTCTGCCTCTAACTAACTTGGTGGTCTCTGACAAAGCATTGTATTGCTTTTATGCCCTAGGAACCCGTCTGTAAACTAGGGAAAGCAGCATCTGTCTGTCTGCCCCACCACAGGGACAGAAGGAAGGCATATTAAGTTAATCACACTATGGAGGTCCTTTCAGTTCTTAGGAAGAGGACAATTTTACATTTGAAATAACTCAATGATAAAGTCATTGAAATTACAAAGAAAGTTTTCCTTCTAGGGACATTTATCCTTACTCCTGTATAAAACTCCTGTTATTTAACCATCAACCAATCTCTCTATAATACCATTGTTATTTTTCCAAATAATCTTTCAGATGAGGCTACAAATTATGGTCAGACTTTGATAATTTTCACTTCTATACAAACAATTCATTTTAATACTGATGTTAGAGATGAGAAAATATATGAACAAGAAAAGTAAGTGCAATCTCTTGTAGTAATCTTTTAAATTATTCCCCAAATACAGTTGTAATCAATTTCCCCCT